AAAGTGAAGAGATTCAAACATTCCTAAATTATATTTTAAAAACTATAAAAGCACCAATTATCCCCAAATAGTCCCTACAGAACGATTTCTTCAAATGTTATAAAGTATCTTTTGTTTGGAAAATTAGATGAAAATACATTTCCAAATATCTCCAAATATGGCTAAATGACAAAACGAGATAAAAACTTTTACTATGCACACTAGTATTTTTTCAAGTCTGTAGAAACAATGGTTACTAAAACCACTAAAAGCAGTTTTACTTTGTACTCGGTATCTAAATGCTCAGGAAACCAATGAAGAATATTTTTCAATCAGTCAATTGAGTTAAGCTATCTCCCCCCCAAAAAGAGATTTCTAACAAGTATTCCAAATGTATCTTACAATAAGTTTCTTACAAATAATTCTGAAAGGGATGTGAAAAATGGGACAACCCCCAAGAGGTTTAAGTTTTGTGGAACAGCTTTCCAGAATCCTTGTAAAGATACCTTCACTCCTAAACTCACCTGTACCATCATCATTCTTAAAGTTATTTGGGTAAAATCATCATTTAAAACAAGTCCTCAAGAAAAACATACTTCAATAACTAAAGAGAAAGTGTTTTTAAAATTCCACGAAAGTACAAATTCAACATGTACTGTATGCTCATACTTCTGCGGTTTGGATGTCAGCTGCACTTTTAAAAACGTGTTTAAGCTATAAAAACAGATCTAATGATTGTACCTGAGATTCTTACTTTTTGGTTTTTTTTTTTTTTTTAAAAAACTGTTCTGCAAATAACTCCCGAATACATAAGAATAACTTGATTCACTAAGTTAAAGAATCATTTAAGTAATTTATACTCATGTAACTTCCCTTAAATTATAAGAACCTATGTTCTCTTTAATAAATCTGAAAAGGACAAAATCTAATTCTCTAAATTGTACATACTATGCTACAGTCTTTTTTTCTTAAGATTTTATTTGACAGAGACAGACACAGCAAGAGAAGGAACACAAGCAGGGTGAGGGGAGAGGGAGAGGCAGGCTTCCCGCTGAGCAAGGAGCCAGAGATGCTCCTCTCAAGCCAGCCCTGAAAAGAGTCCAATGCAGGGCTTGATCCCAGGACCCTGGGTCCTAACCCAAGCAGAAGGCGGTTGCTTAACGACTGAGCCACCCACGTTCCCCTATAGTAAGTCTTTTTTTAAACTAAAGAGTTCTACAACTGACAAACCTCCTTGCTTTTACTTTTCCTAGCAAATTACTTGAAGTCCTTTTATACATCACTTCCAAACTTTCCAAGGAAATCCAATGTTCCATAAAAGAAATCCAGTCATCAATGTAAAAAATACATTGTGATGTAGACAGATGCCAGTAAAGCCCAACCTTGATTTTGAGTCCCACATTTGTTTAATCAGCTTTGTAAAATGCAAGTTACCAAAAAAAAAAAAAAAAAAAAAATCCAAGTTACAAATCACATAGGCTCTTAAGTTAGTAAATTTTTACTAAAGTCTTAAGGTCTTTTTTTTTTATACCCTAAAATGGGGATGCCTGGGTGGCTCAGTGGGTTAAAGCCTCTACCTTCGGCTCAGGTCATGATTCCAGGGTCCTGGGATCAAGCCCTGCACTGGGCTCTCTGCTCAGCAGGAAGTCTGCTTCCCCCTCTCTCTACTGGCCTCTCTGCCTACTTGTGATCTGTCAAATAAATAAAATCTTTAAAAAAAAAAAAAAAAGTAAAAAAAAATTAAACCCTAAAATGAAAATAATGTATTTGATATTAGATCAATAAACAATATAGTAACCTGTTCTTACAGTTTTGTTTTTTGTTTTTTTCCAAAGATTTATTTGACAGAGATCACAAGCAGGCAGGCAGAGAAAGGAGGGAAGCAGGCTCCCCGACCAATGTGCAATGCAGGGCTTGATCCTGGAACCCTAAGATCATGACCTGAATGGAAGGTAGAGGCTTAACCCACTAAGCCACCCAAGGGGGCCTCTACAGGTTTGGGGTTTTTTTTTTGAAGATTTTATTTATTAGAGAGAGAGAGAGAGCATGAAAGAGGGGAGAAGAGGGAGAGGCAGACTCCCCACTGAGCAGGGAGCCTGATGTGGGACTCAATCCCAGGACTTTAGGCTCATGACCTGAGCCAAAGGCAGTCACTTAACCAACTGAGCAGCCCAGGCACCCCGAGTTTTGTTTTTGTTTTTTTTTAAAGAGGAAGAGGGGGAAGGAGGGAGAAAGGGAGTGAATCTTAAGCAGGCTCCACACCCAGCGTGTAGCCCAACATGGGGCCGGCTTTCACAACCCTGAGACGTGACCTGAGCTGAAATCAAGAGTCAAATTGACAGAGCTAACTAGGTGTCCCATAACCTGTTTTTAAATTAAGTTACTTACACAGGTGCACTGATAATCCACACAGGTGCACTGATAATCCAACTCACTGCGCTGAACTTCAGGAAATGGTTCTGACTTTACATATATGAATACTCATATGTATCACAGTTTATTTAAAAATCTAAAAGAGGGACGCCTGGGTGGCTCAGTTGGTTAAGCAGCTGCCTTCAGCTCAGGTCATGATCCCAGCGTCCTGGGATCGAGTCCCACATCGGGCTCCTTGCTCATCAGGGAGCCTGCTTCTCCCTCTGCCTCTGCCTGCCATTCTATCTGCCTGTGCTCACTCTCTCTCCCTCTCTCTGACAAATAAATAAATAAAATCTTTAAAAAAAAAATAAAATAAAAATAAAAATAAAAATCTAAAAGAATACAAATGCCTGTAAAAAAAAATCATACTTACACACTTTAAAAAATTAAGTTTCAAACACGTATCAGCGCTAAAATATGGGAGCCAGTGAATAAGGATTAAAGAAGTATTAAATGAGAAAAGAATGAGCACTTCACATCTTTAAAAGAACTAACAGACACTCCAAACTTCGGGATGGAGATCTCTATTTCATATTTATTACTACTCATACATCGTAATTAAGGAATATAGCAGTCAGGCATACCAGAAATGGTAGCTAGAAATGGAGCTATTTTACTAGTTAAAAGGTTCCAGAGGGAGGCAGATAAACAGCTAAAAAAACAAATCAGAAAGTGGGGCCTAACTTAGCAAATGACTGTATCAGAAAAATTAGAAGTCTCTTACAAATAAACCATCAGCAACCAGATGCAAACAGAAAGAAAACTAAAAGCCTAGAAGTATACAGAGCTCATATAGGAAGCAAAATTAAAATCAAAATTGGAAAGAAAAAAAAAAAAGTACAGAAAAAGTTAGCAGCTAAAACCACCACTAGCTGGCCAAGAGTCAAAGCCCTTCAAACTAGTTTTTCAAGGCCAGGATGACATTTTATCTTTCCTTTCACGAATACCACAAAATTGTTGCCCTGTGTTTGTTGAATGAATAAGCAACAGAATAGTCTTGGGGTTATTTCATCTGTAAAGGAATTATCAGGTATGGTTAACTGTGAATGCTCGAAGAAAGCATTTACAGAACTTTCCCAGAGTGCCTAAGCTGACTTCTTCCCAGATCTGGACACAGAGGATATATATAGGAACAAGATCACAATCACTAGAAGAAAACCCAAGATACTTATCTGTAAGGAGATGAAGTACCGCATCCTATTCTGCCACAATTACCAAAATTTTAAAAATAAAGCAGAGTACAATGCAAACAGCACGTGCCTTCCAAGAGCTAACATTTAAAATGAAATTCACTATAGAATAACCGAAAATAGTGTCATCTCGAACCGTATCTAACACTAGAAAATTTACCCACAAAATTAAAAATATTAATAGCTTAAGTAATTTTACCATCACAGAACTTCTAACACTTCAATAACCAAACCCATCTCCTACTGGTTATATACAAAATATAATTTATCTGCATAAGTAGCACAAAGTTATAGCTACATTCAACAGAACTGTATCCTCCCTTCCATACAGCGCCAAAATTCTTTCATTTCAATGCTATCTTCTGACCATTATTAATTTCCTCAACCCAGTAACTATAGACAGAGGAGACCTATGTTTCTGATTATCTGATTTCACGGAATAAAAATGATCTCCATCCTAAGAGGCAGAAAAAGAGGACCAGAAGATGCAGGCTGTTTTTAAAAAGTGAACGAAGAATGGAGAAGCTCATGGACAGAAAGCCACATGGCACTCATTTGAGTTTCCTTAGAAGCTTCCAAAAGCACAATCACTGTTGTATATATGTATCTCAAACACAAGCAATAGAAGATCTTATAGTGGGGGAAAAAAAACAATGTTTTATTTACCACAGTGAAAATAGCTTGTGCCTCAATACATGCTTTAGACTCAAAATCGGATTTTTTGGTAAATTCTGGGCAAATTAAATCTGAAAATAGTTACAGAATGTATTTACTATTTCTTAGCCTCCTAGCACAAAGAGCTTGAGGCAGGGTAATAACTGAGTAACAGCACTATACAAAAGAAAGGAGACTAACTTTTAAAAAGTTGAATGTCTGTCTGAACACAGTATAAAAATTACACTAATAAAATCCTGGAGAATACGGAAAACAACATTTTAAACGCTAACAACAAAAACCCAAAAGAATTTTCTGATCACAGCTCATTTTTTTAGCTTGTAAACGATCTCAAAAACCATACTAAGCTTTTAAATTCATAACTTATCAGTAGGAATCACATTTGAACTCCTTATAAAAATAAATTTAAACAACCTAAGAATCTCAAACTGAGTCAAATAAATTGAAGACTTTACTTGAAAAGGTGATAAAGTTCTTTTCTTGGAAAAATGTCCTGTATTTCTCTCATCGTTAACAAAGCATTTGATAAGTTATATTCATAAACACAGTCTCTTATAAGCCATTGGTATCCATTTTAAGATGCTCAACTCCATACCTTATTTCTAGAGTGACTTGTTTATTAAGTAAACTGACAGACATAAAATATTTTGATGACACAACCATACAGGGAAATATCCCTGCAACCTGTTTTACAGAGAGCTATTAAGTATATGTGGAAGTTTCATCAAAAAAGCTACTCACCACCATCCCTCTCTCTAACTCTGTGAATATGCACATTTTTGGCCTTACTGTGACCTGTGCTGTCACTATATTTGTTTTCAGGACTATCAGATCTCCGCAACATTTTATTTGGTGGTGAAGGATCTGCGGCGTCTCGCATTTTTTCATGTCTGTGATCACCGCTACTGGGGTGACTCTTCGATGAATACTTAAGTGCCTGTAAAACATCACCCCCCCAAAAAAAGAGAAAAAAATGAAACTTTAAACTTCCTAGATGATTTTATCATAAAAGTTGGCATATTAACTCCAGTTTATGAACTTCTATCAATAAAATTAAAATTTCTACTTCTAATTCTGCCTTTAAGTTATTCAGACACCTAAGTACCTAAGACTTAGTCTAAGGCTTCTTGAACGAATCAGGTTAAAAAAAAAATTTTTTTTTCATTAAGTTATTTTTTTAACTACAAAAAAAAAAAAAAAAAATCAAACACCTTGGTACATTAATTCCTTAATAAATTTTTCTGGGAATAACAAAGTTTAATCCAAAGTAGAAACTAGTGTACTAGTTTCATCTTGAGTACTAATGTAACCTTGTGTTCTACAACTGATACACACAGATACAAGTATACATTAAGAATAAGCAAGTTTCTACAAACCTATTAAAAAAAAAAAAAGGAACCATCAGTTTCACCAATTTTTGATCCAAAAAAACCCATTTCACATCTAACTTACCTACTCTTGCACAGGTATTGAAAATAATTTCGAGGTATAAAAATGTTGGCGGATATTTCTAACATAATTTAATGGAACTTCCTCACAGTGGTTTAGTTTCATTCTAATACACATTTAAGACAACCATAATAAACCAGTGTTAATTAGTAGGTTTCAGAGAAGCAGATTCAACAGGGTTTAATCTTTTGACTATGCAAAGATAATGAACAATGTTTTACACATCAAGGGACCTAGGATTTTTAACTTGAGCTTTAAGAACTCATGCTAACCGATAACATAACTATCAGCTTAGAAATTCCTTTAAATGATTAGCTGTAGAAAGTGGAAAGTTTTATTTCTGGTGTCATCTGATAGTTACCAGCCATTTATGAGATTTTCACCTCAGAACAAGGCCCACTTTTATCGCAATTTTTAAAAACTTTACATGCAGAAACCGCAGTAACAAAAAAGAACCTACCTACCTAGAACCATCTATGCTAGAATGGATTATCCATAAAAAGACTTCTGACCATGGAATGAATTATCCAAGTATTCAAAGATCTCAATTCTCACAAAGAGAAAAGCTCTTTCACTAGTAACTGAACTATGTGCACCAAAAACAATTAAAATGGGGAAGGAATAGTTTAGGAGACACATTTAAGAGTTGAAAATCACTTAGTTATTTCTTCTCAAGCCTTCCACCTAACTTAAGTATCGTTACGTTAACTTTTAGTTCCCAAATACAATAAATATGGCTCAGAAGTCACCTATCATCTCATCCCTTCGATTCCTTCACACCGAAATAATCGAATTAGGTCCTTCCTGGCTAGATTTTTGTTTTTTTCTTAAAAAAAAAAAAAAAAAAGAAAACACAGAAAACAAAAAACCCTGAACTTCCTCCAGTCACCTGTCAAAATATGTCACTAAACGTTGCTGGAGAGCGCTAACAGAACCAAACACAAAATTTTAAGGGGACCCGCGGTGCTAGTTCCAGATTTGTTGCACCGAAGGGCCTGTAGCGACTTCTGAAGCCTGCGCTCGAGTAGCAGTTCCTCCCTTCCCCCTCCGTCCCCCCACCCACCCCTCCACTCCTCCACCCCTCCACCCCGGCCTCGGCTGGTACCTGGTAAGGCTGCGAGTCCCCCCTCCGGTCGTGACAGCTGAAAAACAGGAAGAGAGAACGCGATATGAGACACCTCGGTGGGGGGTGGAGGGTAGGAAGAAAACGGGTTCCCCCCCAGCGCCCCTCCCCGCGGGAGACCTACCAAACGTACCGGCAATGAGCCCCCCCACACACACCGCACACACACAGCCGGCTGAAAGACGGGAACGAGGGCGAAACGCCGAGAACCCGGCCCTCCGCTGCCTCCACACTCACTCCGTCCTCGCCTGCTCGCGCGGCTGCTCCTCCTCCCAGCCCGATCCGGATCAGGGTTAACAACAAAAATGGCGGCTCAGCCAGCACCAGATAAGGAGGAACAGCCCCCCCCCCTCCGCGCCGCCGCCGCCGCCGCCACCGCCCCCCGCCCGCGCTGCGGCCCGGCCCGAAACGAAAAGACAATTTACCCATCACTGAGTCTCTGCTGTTTCCTCGCATACATTACCATCAATGCCCGGCCTGTGAGTATGTGTCGGGGGAGGGGGAGAGCGGCCGCGAGAGGCGGGCGGGCGGGCGCGCAGGCGGCGGGCGGGCGGCAGCACCGGCACCAGGGCCCGACGCGCCCTCGGCGACTCTCAGCACCTCCCCGTTACTGGCGCCGGCGTTCCCGGGCCATCTCCCTCCGCCGACACCACGTTCACTCTCAGCCCAGGCAGCCGCGCCAACTACACGGCGGCAGCGGCGAACGGGGGGAGGGGGGCAAGAAGACGCGTCCGGCTCTGCCCCGCGGAGAGCTACTGCCTCCTCCGCCTTCTCTTCCTCCTGCTCCTCCGTCTCCTCCCCTCCTCCCCCCGTCGCCGCCGCTGCCTGGTCCTTCGCCGCCGCCTCCTGCCGCCGCCGCCGCCGCCGCTGGTGCCGCCGCTGCCGCTCCACCAACTACATCCGGGCAACTCGGACGCCGCGGCCTTCGGAAAGCCTCGGCAGTTTCCGCCGCGCCCCTCCTCTCCCACCCTCTGCCTTCCTCCCCGCCCCGCGCGGCTCCGGAACGCCGCCTTCGGCAAACCTCGGCTCGGCCCGGCCTTCCTCTTCCTCTGAGGCCTGGCTCGCCTCCTCGCGACCCGTCAGCTCTTTCCGGTTGTCGCTTCTTTTCCTCACGCCCAAGTCCGGCCGCTGCCGTTCCAGTTTAGGGATAGTCCCGTTCGGGGACCTGCTCGAGGCTGGTCCCGGAGGCTCCGGGGTGCGCGGGGTGGGAGCCGCCTTCGGGAGGAGGACGGTGGGGCGCGAGAGGAGCCATCACGGACTAAATAAAGGAGGCTGCGGCTGCTGCGCGTGCGCCCGGAGGCGCGGGGGTGGGAGGGTGCCCTTGGGTGAGCTCTCCGGCCGCCCGCCCCCGCCCCTCGGGGCTCCGGTGGGGTGGTCGGAAACCCCGGGTTAGGCGGCTGGCGGGCGGTTACCAAGGCGCTTCCTCGGCCGGCAGCGACGGCAGCTGCGGTCGGAGAGGTGGGGAGCGCGCCGCTGCTCCGTGCGGCCCGCTCCCGGGAGCCGGAGCCCGGGCCTGGGCACTTGCCTCAGACCGGCCGCCGAGTGCGCGGCCGGCCTTCGGGGGGCCGGGGCCGCCTGGAGCTCGCCCGTTAGAAGTAAGTCTTACCCCCAGAAGCGTGCGGGAGGGCGAGCTTGCCGAGCGAGGAAAGACGCAGCAGATAAGGGGTGGCGTACCGAATGCGGGAAGGCCGTGCGCGGCTTGAGTTGGGAGCGCCGCTCCGGGCGGTGAATGGAAACCGAGGCTGACCGCGAGCGGGAATGGGTTACTGGGGGAAGGTGGTGAACCGCCTCATCCTTGTTTCCTGTTTTCCGCCCGCCCCCGCCCCCACCCCCCCGCTGTGTCCTCCCCACCCTCTCCTTTATTTCCCATTTTTCTCTTTTAGTCCCTCCAACTTGCTGAAGTCCTTTGGTGAAAGAGCGCTCATTCCGTCGGAGGTTCTGCGTGTGAATAAAGGCACCGGTTGTGCTACATGAAGCTGAGACGAACTGGATTTTATAGACTGCGGCAGGCACAATACCGACATTGGCATATTGGGAAGGGGGAAAGTCAAGTATATCGCCCCAAATTAAGCTTTACTGGAAGGGTGATGGTTGATACTCGGGTGGGGTTTCCCCCCCTGCTCTAAATTCCTTATAAGGCAGCACTAATTTAACGAAAAGATTGTAATAAAGTAAATATATATTTGCATAGAAGAAAAAGGTAAAAGAGGAAACAAGCCAGAAGAGATAAGATCCCACCAAAAACCAGTATCAAAAAATAACCGACTGACTTGGTATCCCACAAGTTACGTTACTGCTGGGCCTAATGAAGAGAAAGTATGATGTGGGGAAGAGGCCCTGAAATCACAATTGACACAAATGTTTAAGTAGCGTGGTTTGTCACATCCACCTGCCAGATGTTAGGATAATTGACTGCTGTTTTCGAGAACCAGTAAAAGCCTACTTAATGCCCCCATGGGCTATCAGTAATTAAAAAGACTGCCAATGACTGAAATGGGGAAAAAATTAAAAACATAGAGTTATGTGCAATTTCTTTTTTATTTAAGATTTTATTTCTTTTGGAGAGAGCGTGGGGGAGGGGAGGAAGGAGCAGAGAGGAAGGAAGATGGAGGAGGAAAGAATCTCAAGCATATTCCTGCTGATGGGAGCCCCACCCAGGGCTGGATACCGTGACCCTGAGATCACTGAGCTGAAACCAAGAGTTGAACTCTAAGGGGCTGAACCATCCAGCCACCCCTTAGGGTGCAATTTCTAACACTTTTGTAACACATAGAAGACAGAAGATAGCAGCTTTGCAGAGTACACAAGGTAGTACATACATTTTATACAGAAACTTCTTGAAAACTGGCAGCAAAATTTATTACTAATTTCTTGATGATAATGGTGTGCTGAAATTTTGATATATACCATTTGTTTTTCTCTAAAGTTTTTTTAAGATTTTTTTTTTTATTTGACACAGAGAGAGACAAGCAGGCGGAGCAGCAGGCAGAGGGAGAAGCAGCCACTGCCCACCCCCCTCCCCCAGAACAGGGAGCCAGATGTGGGGGATTGATCCCAAGACCTTGGGATCACTACCAAAGCCCAAGGCAAAGAGAGGTTCAACCGACTGAGCCAGCCAGGTGCCCCTGATATTTTACATTTGATCAAAAGCAGCAAATGAGGAAACTGTAGGAGGCAATATAGTCTTCATTGTTTGTAGATCCTATATTTGCAAATTTGCCTACTCATTAAAATTTGTAATCACCAGTAGGCATAGCAGTCATGGATATGCACAGAGTGGCGAAAAATTTAGCATTCCCAGCTGAGTTTAACAAGACAACGCTGGTTAATTCTGCTCTCCTACTGTAAATAAATGTACTTTTCACAATATATATACTTTCAGGGTTTTTGCACTTTTCATGCTTATCGGTGGTTTTGCTTTTTTAAATGGCTCTCCAAGCATGGTGCTGAAGTGCTGTCTAGTAATCAATCCGAAACACAGGATGCAGTATGCCTGGTGGAGAAAACACATGTTCTAGATGAACTTCCAGGCTTATCATTAGTGCCCTTGGCCATGATGAGTTCAGTTTTAAGGAATCAACAATATATATAAAATAAGCCATCTAAGTAAAAACACATGGATGGAAATGTCACCTAAGTCTTTCAGGAACCTAACCCTGTTTTCCCTAGTTGCAGATCAGTATTCACAGTGACTTAACAGAACTACCTCAAATAAGAATCAACTACGTACTAAAGGACCTATCCAAATGTTATGCCCATTTTTTTAAAAACTCATGGCCTATTTTAGATTCCATTATCCATTGTTATAAATTCTTTACAAATACCTTCATCCTTCCCTTCTTTTTTCCTCCATTTTACCTGTCTAAACCACAATCCTGGTTAATTCACTGTGTGCTGGCAGTGGAACTTGGCTGGAGAAAAACAGCCCTCCTAACTGTGGAAGGACACCTTGTGTTTCTCACACACCCCCCCACCCAGGCTAATTTCCATAATCCATTTACCCAGCTCTCTTAAATGGCTATTTAACATCTTTTAAACTAAGAAAACCTCCCACTCCCCTTTCTGAGTAAGGCATTATCTTGCTTCTTATCTCTCTAGGGAAATAGGAAAAAAAAAAAATCAATAACAGCTCCCTTCTCACCGTTGCACCTTACCAACCTTCCTATATCTGAATACGGTGCTACATTCCTAACTATGGATAAACTGTCAAAATTCCTATAATCAAAGTTGCCACCTTTTCCTTGAGTTCCATTTTACTCTTGGAATTGTATGATTTCCTTACAAATATTTTTCCTCTCAACTGGATCACTTCTGTCACTTATAAACCTGTCTTAATAGCTACCATCATTTAAAAAACAAAAACAAAGAAACCTTGACCTGTATCACCTTCCAAATACTTCCCCCTTCCCTGCTTTGATTTGCTCTTCCGTACAAACTTCTCCACTTCTGCTACTGTCTCTTAAATCCACAAGTCAGACTTGGCCTCCATATTCCACTGTTAAACCGTTCAATATCAGCAGCATGTTGATATCAACCTCCATGTGCTCAAATCCAATTTTTATTTCTTCATCTTCATATCCTTTAACCTGTCAGCAGCATTTGACATAGCTGATGAATTATGCTCTTCCTGAAGCTCTTTATCTGGCCTGCCAGGATTCTATTCTCTCTCTTCTCTTCCCTCCTAAATGATTGTTGCTTAGCCCTCTTGCCGGTTCCTCCTAATTTTCTAGCCTCAAAATGCTAGCTAGAGTGCCCCAAGATTCAAATCAGGATCAGACTGCTTCTCTCTCTCTCTCTCCCTCACTAGGCAATCTTATCCATGTCTCTGGCTAAAGGAAACTCATGTTTGAATCTCCAGCTTGTAACTTTCCCCTAAACACTGGGCTCACAATCAACTGCCTATTCTACAGCACCGCTCGAATGTCCAGGTATCGCAGACTTCATACGCCCACAACCAAACTCTTCATTCCCACTGCCCCCAAATAAATCCTGATTAAGTCTTCCCTGTTTCATGAAATGACAACTCCATTCTTCCAGTTGAGATTAGAGACTTTGGAGTCCTTGATTCTTTCATACCTCATCCACTCCATCAGCAAATGCCACCAGTATTATCTTCAAGATAGACTCAGAATCTGATCTTTGTTCACTACCTCCATCACATTCACTCCGGTCCAAGTCGCCATCTTATTCCTAGGTAGTAGTAAAGGCTTCCTAACTCATCAACTTCTATACGTGCTTTCACAGGGTTTACTAGCTTACACAGCTGTCAGAGTGATCTCTCAAAAGTCAGTATTATTTCTGTCTTACGACCCACCAACGGTAGGGTGCCTGGGTGGCTCAGTCAGTTAAGTAGCTGCCTTCGGCTCAGGTCATGATCCCAGGGTTCTGGGATGATCCCAGGGTTCTCCCCTGCTCCGCGGAGAGCCTGCTTCTCCCTCTCCCTCTGCCTGCCACTCTGCCTACTTGTGCTCTCTCTCTCTCTCTCTCTCTCTCTGTCAAATAAATAAACAAAATTAAAAAAAAAAAAAACCACCAGTGGTATCCTATCTCAGAATAAAAGCCGAAGTTCTTACCATGGTCTGTAATGAACTACCCCCATCCACATTATCTCTGGTTTCATATCCAGTGACTTTTTTACTTGCTCATTCTCCCCCTCATCACTCTCTTTCCTTTTTCTCCAATATAACAAGCATGTCTGAGGAGCTTTGTGCTACTATCCTGTCTGGAATGATCTTCCCCTTTGGTCCTACTTGGTTCACAGTGTATTATTTTAGGTCTGTACTTAAATCTCACCTTTTCAGAAAGGTCTTTCCTCTGAGAAC